TTAAAAGCGTATCTATGATTTTAATTGATAAGGAAATGTGTTATCGACAAATATGTTTCAATTATAAAATTAAATATTCACTTAAGCATATTATTACAAATCCCTCAGCCCTATTTTTATGTGCTCACAATAAAAAATAAGTGTGAATATTTAACTTAGGCAATAAGCTAAACGCTCGTAATTTATTCAGGTGCTAAATGGGCGCTCACTTTCTGATCTACAACTGCAATAGAATTTATTTGGTTGAGCAAGCTAGACGGCAGCAATTACCACCTAAATTAAATATGAAGCATATTTTGATGAAGAGTAGTCAACTAGAAAATACCCTGCAAACAGCAGATTTTAAACAAGAAACTCTACCACTATAATCGATATTTGTTGGACTCGATATTTTGTAAGAAGTATTGCGTGCTTTCGGCTGCTTATGTTTAGGTACATTTGAGCTGGACTGTTAGCAACATAATTTGTGTTTAGATGCATATAAATTGAAACATCAATTAGGATACCCTCTGGCATGCGCTATGGAGTATATTTTATGTGATCTACATTTTTTCTCATTTGGAGAAGGAGCAGCGTATAGCAATTCCATTTCTGGTTGTGCTTTTGTTATTCTATTTTATACACTAAATATTTTCTATTGTGTTTGTTGTTGTTGTTCACAGCCAAGCGCTAATTCTTCCAATTGAACCAAAATTATGCAATCGCACGAAAAGAAAATTGACTTTGTATCGGAGTGTGTGCGCCTGTGTCTACGTAGTTCTTTTCCTTTTGTAGTCGGCTTCAGGAAGATCGAAATGACAATGAAACCCAGAAGCTGACAATGGGATGCGGGGCTCATATTTAATTTGTCTATATGCTGAACGTAATCAGGGAGATTTTAGTTTAAGAAAGATTTATATGCCTCATAGAACATATATATTTATGGAAATTTTCAATTTTATCTTAAGACTTACCACAAACATGGCGCGTCGCTTGTAGTGCGTGCAGCCGAAACGAAATGTCGTTGGCTGTGTTGCATCAACATTGTTGCTGTCGTGTAAATGTTGCTGCTGTCGCTTGATGTGGGTGATCGCCGCAACATCTTTGTTGACAATGTTGCCAGCTTCCAACGCTGATTCAACAGGACTTTGGACACAGCATTTGTTGTCAACAAAGCTGCTATCGCTAATGTTGCTGCCGTCGCATGTGAGAGCCGGCGTTGAGTGTGATTTACGTAAACAAACAGCAGTGGCTGTTGCTGACGCTGCATTGGTTGTTGTAGTTGTTGTTGATGCTGATATTGTGGCAGCTGTGACTGTGGCAGAGCTGTTGGCAGCAGCACACGATGCCATCGCCGTTGGCGACATAATCAGCTGTTAAAGCTTTTGCTGTTCTTGCCTACTGTTGTTGCTTTTGTCGCCGCACTATCTCAGTTACAATTGCAGTTGCTAAAATAGCTTCGGTGATTATTATGCTAATGATGACGAACGAAGCTGATGATTGTATTCTTGCTGTTTCGGACGAGGCAGCCTCCAGTGAGGTCGCTAGCGACTGCGACTGCTGCGCCGACGACGACGTTGGCGATGAATTTAAATTGAGTTGATTGAGCTTTTTTGTATTGGTAAATGTTTGTACATCAATGCTGGTTTATTATTGCTGTTGTTGTTGCGATATTCTTCACTTTAATTTGTTGCAACCACTATTCTGGTCGATGTTATGTTGATGCTGGTGCAGTAGTCGTCGCTGCTGTTAATTGCTGTCATCGGCACTGGGCTCGGCTTTTCAATTGCTCCAATATTTCAAATAATTTGCCGTTGTCGCTGCCGCTGCCGCTACCGTTGCTGTTGCCGTTGCGACATCAACTGTCGCTTTGTTCGATTTGGAGTCGTGCTTGGAATATGTATGTACATATGTACATACATACATATATGCCTATTCTCTCTGCTTTTGGCTCATCAAGCTGCAGCTACAACAACAAGTACCATCATAACGTACACAACTTTGGCCCTTCTTTGTTTTCATTCGCGTCTCCTGATATTGTTGTTGCTATTCTCAATTCCGTTTTATCACCATCCCCCTTTGAAAACTTTCGTTCGTGTAACTGTTTATATTCATTTCGCGCGTTGTCCACGCCAGCAATTATCAAGCTGTTTCCAAAGCTTTAATAGTTGACAGTGGTTCTAAATATACATACATACATACATTTTAGGTTCGAATATCAATAACATAAATGGATGATGATGATAATTGACCATTTGACATACTTTGCAAACATTGAATGAATTTAAGCAAAGCTTCTAATATTTATATCAATATTAGATTATTAAAGCAAACTGTATTTGAATTTTATCGCTTATTAAGCATATACATATGTATGAATGTGTAGTCAGCTAATTAATTGCATTCTATTTTTCTTCGAGTGAATTTAAAATGTAACTCCATTTATGCACAGTATTCACATGGCTTGTCACACTGTGTGAATACGGCACACTTGTTAATACAATGACGATCTGTGAATGCCTCGTTGAAACTTTCGCTTGCTTTTTCGACTACTGAGCCACCGAACGGAGCTAAGCTTTTCGACGATGAATGAAAAAAAAAAAAAGCACTGTGCAACATGGCTCTGGCACTCTATGCATTCAATGTCAACGACTATTTGCTAACATCTTGTATGTGTTTAATTTAAATACATATGTATGTATGTATGTATTATTATCTTTAGATTCAGCAAGAGCAGATCTGAGTCTTGTTGATTTCGATTTTTATTTTTGCAATTATAAAGCGAACACGCCGACAATAAATATTTAAACACAAATTAAATACGCGAACGCGTAACGATAAAAAGGCCAAGTGGAGGAACAAGACTGTCGACGAACGAACAGTCAAACCAGCTAAGTGACAACAAGAACAAAAACAGCGAAAACAAGCCCGAAATACAAATATCGAATATTAACTTTATCTTTATGCACGCACTGCCAAACGCACGGACCCAGGTGCACACATATGCACATACATATACATATACATTTATAAATCTATATTAGAAACAATCAAATTCAACTAATAGTTTTATTGGAAATGTTTATAATCAAATGTAAATACTCTAAATACTTTATAAACATGTTTCACCCATCACAAATGTATGATTTCGTTTGTGTGTGTGTATATTTATTTTATATTATTTTCACTTATATTTTAGTAATTTTACAAATTTTGTCGAACGTGTGTTTTTGTTGGCAGTAATCTTGGCCCTATTTGAGCACTCAGTATATTTATTTTGTTAATTATAATTGATTTACAAGTGAAGTGAAACACACCACCAAAAAGCACAACAAAACAGCAACAGGCGTCAATTAAATTAAATAAGATGAGTGCACCGCTCAGCGGTTTAAAGTCGCCCTATCTCACTCTCTCTATTTCACTCGACGAGCTTCGCTTCGCGCGGGCTACAAAATTCAACTGACGGCGATATCAACTGATCGCGAACATTGAACTACACATGTGAGAGCTGCGAGAAAAATGCATATGGTATGGGGTTTGTATCGGAGTTTACAAGCCGCTCAGGTGATTATCACATACACCATTTATAAGCATTTCTAATCACTAATTAATGTAGTACATTGAAGTCTTATTTTACTGAAAATACTTGATCGAAAATCTACCAAATTTACTTTTAAGCATATACAAAACTTTGAATTAGCCAAATTGACTCAATAATCGATAAGATTTGAAAAGGACAACTAGAATAAACTTTTACAACGCAAAAATATTTATGTACTTAAGTCACCACAATTTCGTATTTGGTCGGCTGTTTTTTCAGACTCATATTAATGGGTAAAATATTTTTATAATTACAATTCTCGTCTTTTAAATTTTGAACTGCCCGTTTTCTTTGTAGTTGTCTTGGGCATTTAAACTATTTGAAGAAACTGAGATAAGCCAATTTAAAAATGTTCTTTATAATTTAATTAATTTTTAAATTAAAATTATAAATAAATTTAAAAATAAAATCAGTAAATTACCAACGGATCTAAGTCTGTTCATATATTTTTCAAAATTTCAATAAGACGATAAAATGAGCTCTTATCAGTGCTGCCACTGATGCTGCCAAACACAATGAATAGAGCTATCGGCAAAATAGTATCGGCCTATCGCGTAAGTAAATAGTAGCTGTATCATCGATAGCTCAACTTTTTGATGCTTTTTCGAGAAGTTTGTAAGCACATATCAGGTTAGTATTGTTCAGAGAGTCAAAACTATAACTTAAAAGATGTCGGAAGAAACAAAGAAAATCGACCTGTCTGGCGACGGAGGTGTACTCAAGGAAATACTTAAAGAGGGCACTGGCGACGAGACGCCTTACACCGGCTGCAAGGTTTCACTTCACTATACCGGCAGACTTGTTGACGGCACCGAGTTTGATTCTAGCGTGGGTCGCAATGAGCCATTCGAATTTGAATTGGGAAAAGGTAAGATCAAAGTGCAAGGATGAGCGATTTTTTCGTTCAGCATTACTCATTGACTTCTTTGGCTTACCGAAGGACGCGTCATCAAGGCCTTTGACATGGGTGTCGCCACCATGAAGCTGGGCGAACGCTGTTTTCTAACATGTGCTCCGAACTACGCTTACGGGGCTGCTGGCAGCCCGCCAAGCATTCCACCAGACTCGACGCTTATATTTGAGGTATTTCAAGTGTAAAGAATCAATTCGATTGAATAATATAATTTATATCCAATTTGTTCGCTTGCAGCTGGAAATGTTGGGCTGGAAAGGGGAAGATCTCAGTCCAAATCAAGATGGCAGCATTGAGCGTACAATTCTCGAGCAAAGCGACAAAAAGCGAACACCCAGTGACGGAGCATTTGTTAAAGGTTGGTTCCTGTTATCGCCATGTTGTGGTTAAATCATTTACAAATTTGCGTTTTCCAAATTGTAGCTCACATTTCTGGAAGCTTCGATGGTCGTGTGTTCGAGGAACGTGACGTGGAATTTGATTATGGCGAAGGCAGTGCCATTGGCATAATCGAAGGAGTTGAACTTGCTCTAGAGAAAATGAATGTTGGCGAAACATCCAAGTAATTAATTATAACTATAATAATTTGTATTGCTAATACTCATCTGTTTTGTCAAACTTTTAACAGAATCAAAATCCAACCAAAATATGCATTCGGTGCCAAGGGCAACGACGCCTTTAATATACCACCAAACTCAGTTGTTGAGTATACAGTGAAGCTAATTGATTGCGGCAAGGGCCTGGAGGAATGGAAGTTGAGCGACAGCGAGCGCGTGGCAGAGGCTAAAGTATACAAGGAAAAGGGCACCAACTATTTCAAAAAAGAGAACTATGAGCTGGCCATTAAGATGTACAATAAATGCAAAAATCTGCTGCCCAGCATCAAGGACAACAGCAGCGATGAGGTCAAGGCACTTAAAGTGGCCACACACAGCAACATCGCACTTTGCCATCAGAAGTGCAACGATCACTTCGAGGCCAAGACAGAGGTACCTATCGATTATGACTGAATGTATATAAAAGTCAATATATAACCATTTTCATTTCTGTAGTGTAATGCTGTACTGGAGCTGGATGAGAACAATGTTAAGGCTCTATATCGGCGCGGACAGTGCAACTTGATTATAAATGAACTTGAAGATGCATTGGCAGATTTTCAGAAAGTAAGCTTAAATTAGAAATTTGTAGACTAAAGGATGGGCACTTAACTGTTTGCAACGAATTGCAGGTTATACAATTGGAGCCTGGTAACAAGGCTGCTGCTAATCATGTTGTTATTTGTAAGCAAAAGATAAAGCAAAACAAGGATAAAGAGAAGAAGTTGTACGCAAATATGTTTACCAAATTGGCGGCTAACAGCAACGAGGTAGAGTACTCTGATGACTGAAGAATATGAAAATGAAAACTATTATTATTAATGCTTCAACAGACGGAGCCACCACGCGAAACAGATGTGCTGGACAAGTGTGGTGAATGGTCGGAGGAGGATGCAAAACGAGAAGCTGATTTAACTTTGGAGCGGGAGAATGTTATTATGATTTAAATTTAAAAACATAAAGCGATACACACTTTGCATCTCAATGCACTATTCTTTATAATACATACATTTATCATTATTATTAACTACTAAAACACTGTCTGAACGCTTCGATGCCCCAAATTATGAAATTGAAATTGTCATGAAAAAATACGTCTAGTGATTCTTAGATGTTTAATAAATACGATTATATATAGCATTGAAAATATTATCACAGATTTTATCTATTGGGTGCGATTCAAATTTTCTCGCGGCAACAACTTAAAATCTGGTTTCTTTTCCTTGTCGCGCAGCCAAAGCGGCGAAGTCGGCACCTGGGATTTGATGTATTCTGATGCTTTGAAGCAGTAGCCGGAGCAGAACTTTTTACGCTCAGTTATGTCGTACACTTTATTACGGACAGCGCAGATTTGATATTGTTTAGTAGGAACTCTGAAACATAGGTAGGATATTAGTATCCAAATTAAAGATTGCTTTTTATGCTTACTTTTCCACAGCAACATCGCAGAGTGGATATCCGCACAGTTTGTTTATGTGTCTTTCCTCGACCACATCCGCATAGTTTTCTGGACCGATTTGTGATAGCTGTATAAAGTCAATTCATGTATAGATTTAGCTAGCATTATTTTCATAAATATTTACCAGAGTTAGAAAAGTCTGTTCGTCAACTTGTTGTTCCAGAAGTGTGACAACTATCTGATGAGCTCTAGCCAGTGCTGCTCGTTTTTTAACCACAGCTGCTATTAGTTGCTCCCTAAAAAATAAAAATAAAGAATGTATTTATAACGTTTGAAGGCATTACAAAAATATAGAAATTACCGCAATTGTTGATTATTTGCTGTGCTCATGTTCTTTCGGTTTTGCACATCCGATATCGATATTCGATAGCAGCTGGTTTACGATTTTCGTTAGAATAGTTCCAAATAAGTGTAATCGATAACTTGTGTCTGTGAATGTTCATATCTAAACATCAACATCAACAAAAAAATTGGACAATAATATATAGCGGTATCCACAAATAATATTCGAATTCATTCAAATGGTTTGCGATAAATGTGAGTCAAAATTGTCCAAAGTCTCGGCGCCGAATCCCTGGCGAACTAGCAATGCAGCGGCCGGTGGTCGCAAAATCAATGAAAACAAAGCGTTATCCTCTTCCAAGGAGCGCTTCAATCCTCTAGGCAATACCTTAGCGCCTTGCCGGTAAGCCTACAAATCGTATAAATAATAAGGTAATAACAATTATTTTCTGCTTGCAGCATATGCAGACAGAAGGTGCATCAAGTGGGTGCGCACTATTGCCAGGCGTGTGCCTATAAAAAGGCAATTTGTGCAATGTGCGGCAAGAAAATTCTAAATACGAAAAATTACAAGCAGAGTGCGACATGAAGACGATTTCTGAAATACATTTTATGTAAATAATGTGCGTTAACAGATATTTCAACGATTTAGCATAGCCTATGGTATACAATAAAATAGTTAAGTAGCTTAAGCATATTTGT